AAGTTTTCAATTATGTCCACTGTGGATGTTATTGTGTATTCACCTTAATAATGTCCCTGTTCACCCTTTAAGTAGGACTCCTCTGTAAATTAAATTAGATCAGCCTTATCAATAGGGGCTTCTTGTAAGTCCTTCCTGGGAGCAACAAAATAATCTGTTAACAAAATATATTTGTGGTTGTTTCCTTTCTGTACCGCTGGAAGCAAAGTCGCAAGGTCAAGGTTATTACAAGGAACAAAAGAAGTATTAGGTGCAGAAAGCAACAATACTTCACAAGAAGTTAGTCAGTTTACAGACTTGTGTGAGTGTGGTGAGAATTTAGAAGAGATTCAAATGAGTGTGGGACATAAATAGTGATAAAAGGCCCTATTACTGTTTCCTCAGTAGCCTTATATGAGAGAGCTGTTTCTGAAATTACTTTCATATAAGGTGGAAGTCCTTTTGCTACTTAGTCTTTCTAGCAAAAAAGCAAGCCATCTACAAATATTTTGGTAAAAAAAATCAGAATAAGACAATAGCTGTCTCTAAATGACAAAAGACTCAACAGGCCTGGTTAAAGACCTGATTACAACATGACTGTGGAGGAAATGTGGCCATATTTGATGTAGAACGTTTTAAGATAATAACTACAACTATGACTGACAACATACCAGGACATTTCAAATTTTAGAAACTTTGTTTAATTTCATATGTTAATAATATTTACTCATACAATATAATTGAAGAAGATTTATTATTATTCATTTGACAATGTTTCTCAGTTGGAATTCTCAGATTTCATTCATAGGACAAGCTAGGTTCTGGAGATCCAGGATGACTAAGAACCACTTACTGATTTCAAGAGGCTGGGTTGAGAGGGTCTCAAAAGTGCTATAAGGGGATGTGCTTGAACTGTAGGATGGGGCCCAGTGATTCTAGAATCAGACAAGCTTGGATATGGCCCCAAGTTCTGTGCCCTTGAGCAAGTTATTCAAACCCTGAAAGCCTCAGTTTCCTGATCTGTGGCACAGGGATAATTAGATGACCCAAGTCTCTCTCAGAGAGATGCTCTCAGCCTCAAGAAACAGGATAACATGCCTAACTCACGTTTAGTACACAGGATATTTACTTCCTTCTCATCACAAGAAGCCTGGGCAGACTACATGAGTCTGGCCCGGTCCAGGTTGTGCCAACTCCGTGGAAAGCGGGGTGAGTGTATTCTCTTTGAGCCCGGGGGCATGGGTAGGAGGCTGTCTGGTTGGAGGCGCTGCCTAGATGGGCAGACAGGAGGCTGAGGGACCTCCATTCTCATTCCTGAGGGGCATGTCACCCAACCCATGTCTGCACTGGAGCACGGGATTCACTCACTTTTCAGACTTGCCAGTCTGTCCCCAGTTTTGCAGCAATAACAAATAGCCCCTTCCTCCTGGAGGAGTCCCACAGACACTTGCCTCTCGTTCTTGCTGAGTGCCATGTGGTCAGCAGGGGTGTCCTCCATGCGGTGACTGGGGGATCCCTACTCCATCCAGCCTCTAAGGCTCCCATCTCAACTGAGCTCCCAGGGTAGGGGGGTGGTGGGATTGGGACCTTGTCCTGGCCTGAGTCTCTCCGCGGTCTCTTGTCCAGGTTAGAAGGTCTGGAGCCCCTTGGCCTGGGCGATGCGGGCCAGGGGACCTCTGTGTGATCACCAACCAGGCTGAGAAACGGGTGATGATGACCACATTCTCTGGTCGTCCTAGGACAGTAAACACAGGGTAAACACACAATAAATGCTGCTTGCTCTTATGTGCATTTCAGCATAATGTGGCAAAACAAGCATCTGGAGGACTCCCACAGACACTTGCCTCTCGTTCTTGCCGAGTGCCATGTGGTCAGCAGGGGTGTCCTCCATGCGGTGACTGGGGGATCCCTACTCCATCCAGCCTCTAAGGCTCCCATCTCAACTGAGCTCCCAGGGTAGGGGGGTGGTGGGATTGGGATCTTGTCCTGGCCTGAGTCTCTCCGCGGTCTCTTGTCCAGGTTAGAAGGTCTGGAGCCCCTTGGCCTAGGCAATGAGGGCCAGCTCTGGCTTATCTCTGGGACCTCTGTGTGATCACCAGCCAGGCTGAGAAACGGGTGATGATGACCACATTCTCTGGTCGTCCTAGGACAGTAAACACAGGGTAAACACACAATAAATGCTGCTTGCTCTTATGTGCATTTCAGCATAATGTGGCAAAACAAGCAAACCAAAAAACCCTACATAATTTGTTTTCATGCATTCAATGCTCCCAGCTGGTGTGATTCTGCAGCATGTTTGATTTTCAGTGTTTTTGTTGCTGTTGTTCAGAACAGTCCCATGGTGCTGGGCTTGACTGAAAAGGCAAGCACAGTTGTGGGCTCCTCCCCAGCCTGTAGCCTGTGGGGCGCCTAAGGTCACCCTCCCGGGCTCCCTTTCCAGACAGGGAGGGGCCGTCCTCGGCCTGCATGACTACAGCCTGTGCAGGTTGGAGCAGGGGATTGAGGAGGGAGGCAGCTAGCTGAGGAAAAGCAGCTATTTGTCAAATCCAGAATTCAGTTCTCAGGGATTTCTGTGATGCTTATTAAAGGGCGTTGGCCATCCGCAGCCCTTCTTCTTAGGGTATCCTTGGGATGGATTAGGGGTTTGTCTGTTCAGGGACCCTGGTTCTATTCCTGGCCAGAGTCTCCTAATGCCTACTGGCTCAGGAAGCTCCAGCTGTCCTCCCAGCGGGACATCCCTGCGTGTTTCCTGGGGGGCTGCTCTTCATCCGAGAAGTGTGTAAGGAAACTTTGTGCTGTTGGGGGCAGGGGTGGGTGCTGTGCTCCCCTCAGCTGTTCACAGTTCAGTGTCACTGAACCCTGTGTTTAAGGCTATTATTTAGAGAAAACTAATTGTCAAAGGAGGGAAGATATGGTGCAGTCGGCTCTCAGGGGGGTTTCCCTGATGGCTCAGACGGTAAAGAATCTGCCTGCAATGCTGGAGACCTGGATTCGATCCCTGGGTTGGGAAGATCCCCTGGAGTAAGGCATGGCAACTCACTCCAGTATTCTTGTCTGGAGAATTCCATGAACAGAGGGGCCTGGCAGGCTACGTGTAATCCATGGGGTTGCAGACTTGGCCATGACTGAACAACTAACCACAGCACAGCAAGCTCCCAGGGGCTTGTTAAATGTTAGGTGAGAACTGGGGTCAGTGTTGGCCAACATCTGTAACTGGACAGAAACCTCTGTCCTTGTTTGGAGAGCTAAGCTGGGAGGCACATGCGTCCAGATGAGAGAGGCAGCAAGTCGATGGTGAGTGACCTCTGTGGGGGCCCAAATGATTCCATGTCTCAGGGATATTGGTGCAATGTCTCAGTAATCATTTACAGATTACTTAGTACCTACTGTATACTTAATCAATACCATCTCAGTTCTGCCTCAAACCTCCATGAGACAAGTACTTTATATACCAGATAGGGTACTTTGGTTTATAAATGACAGAAAACTCAACCTAAAATGTCTTAAATAAAAGTGTATCCCCACCCCCACCCTGGCGCATGTGCTTTGAAAGGTTCATGGATACACTAGCTTCAGGAACAGTTTGATCCAGCATCCAGTTGATGTCACTTGGCAACATTTCTCAGTTCTCTTTGGAAGCTGGGCTCCCTTCTCAGTCAGTCTCTCCCCTCAAGTACGAAAGTCACTCCCAGAACCTCACTTTTCAGGGCTGACAATCTAACAAGGAGAGGTGTGAGTTTTTGAACCAGCATCCTCTACCTAATCCTGTCACCCCTTCTTGGGTCTTACTGGATTGTGTGCTCACCCCTGAATAGTAACCACGGCCCCGAGGAATGCAGAGCACTGACTCAGTCAGGCCTGAAAAGCAAGGCTTCCTTCTAAACCAAGGATGGAGTTGATGGCACATTACAGGGGCTGCGAGTGGGAAAGGGGGACGTTGGGAGACTTTTACAGGAAAAGCATGAAGAGCCTCTGAGGGACAAGACAGCAGATCTCCACTGAAGAGGAGTAAAATATGCCACCTCCAAAGATGCCACCTGGCTGTAAGGACCATTCTGAGCTGAAGGCAGTCTTTCGTGTTTTTTACTTTGTTTTTGTTTGAGGGGGGCTTTCTTGGGGAGGGGGGTTGTTTTCTGTTTTGTTTTTATATCCTGAAGGTTGTCTTGAAGAAGCAGATACCAAAACAGCATTCTGGCCTCCACCTGTTTCCTAAAAGCAGGACACACATTTATAACATTGTCTTCTCCTCCCCTTTCTAATAGGAAGAACCAGAGACAAACCTAGACTCCTCCCACCCAGAGACATCCTGGGAGGAATCTGCCTGACAGATCTCACTGAGTACTCTTTCTTTTCCATCAGTCCCCCCATGCGCCTGCCTTACAACTTGCCAGCCTAGAAACTCAAAGTCTTGTCACCTCTCCAAAAGCTTATCATTCCTTTAGTTAAGATGCTTTGTAAACCTAGCTACTAACAACTATTTTGAATTACTCATCACTGAATATTCTGGTGCCCTTGTTAATAAACTTCTGTTTGTTTCTCTCCTGTTAATCCATCTAGTCAGTCTGATTTCCAGGGCTCCAGCCAAGGAAGCTAGATATGTAGAGGAAAAACACACTTCTTTCTTCCTCCCATCCACCAGCACGCTACTATTTATCACACCATTTTATAATTAGGAAAATTAAAGTTCAGACAATGTGCGTGATCTCCCTGAGGTTACACAGCTGACTGAGTGAAATTGCTGAGATTCTGTCCCTAGGCATCTTAACTCTGTTATTTGACAGCTTCCTGAGCCTCAACTAGATTTTTATTTGTGGTCCAAGACTACACTGTGGCTCTCTCAGTATTCCCTATAGGTGGCAGAATAAAGTTTTAAATAGAGTAGGGTTCAGTAACAATTGAAAAATTCATCTAAAAAAGATCACTGTCTCAATAATTTGAAGTTTAATATTAAATTTAAAACCCATTTTCCAGCTGAATGCCTTCCTTTGCCGTTTTGTAATAATGTCCCTTTTATTTCCAAGGATTGCTGAGGCAGTGAGTTTCAAAGATTCCATGATGCCGGCAACCAGTTATATTTCCCCGGAGGAATCAGGACCACTGACTCTCCCAGGATGTGTCAATCTCTCGCCTGAGAGAACATCATCTATCTCCAGCACAGACAGGTGAGCTCCTCTTCTGTCATTCGCTTTTTCATTTAGGATATTCGTCTGTTCACATGCTCATAAAGACTTCGATGGTGGTGGTGGCCGATTTGGAATTCTGCTCCCCCAGGAGGCCCTTCCTTTTCTTGATCATAGTAGAAAAGCCCCAGTGGCAATGAGAACTGATATCAGGATGTGTGTGTGTGTTTATTCGCTCAGTCACGTCCAGCTCTTTGTGACCCCATGGACTGCAGCACGCCAGGCTTCCCTGTCCTTCACTATCTCCAGGAATTTGCTTAAACTCATATCTACTGAGTCGGTGATGCCATCCAACCATCTCATCCTCTGTCGCCCTCTTCTCCCCCGCCATCAATCTTTCCCAGCTTCAGGGTCTTTTCCAATGAGTCGGTTCTTCACATCACATACCCAAAGTGTTGGAGATCTCGGGGTATTGATGGGTAAAAAGCATCTGAGGCCAAACTGAAGATTTCACACAGTTATGTAGCAGCTAGGAATATTTCTATGAATAGAAATAATGTGTTTTAGGGGGAGGGAGATGTGCTTTGGCGGGGAGTGGGGATAAATTGGCCAGTTCTCAGTCGTCTTGTGTAACAGCCAATGGCAAGTGAAGGAATGCCTTCTGCCTAAGAGAAACAATTGAGAGCTTAGAATAAGCCATTATGTTTGCCCTGATACATCTAAACTTTAATTTTTTCTACAGTGAATTTCTTTTTAAATGGATGAAAATACTCAAGTCATTGTTAATGTGAATGTGAACCATCTACTCACTCTTTAAAAAGTTTTCTCCTACCCTATTTGATGAGTAATGTCCTCACAAAGAAGAAGGCAATGGCAGCCCACTCCAGTCCTCTTGCCTGGAAAATCCCATGGACAGAGGAGCCTGGTAGGCTGCAGTCCATGGGGTCGCTACGAGTCGGACACGACTGAGCGACTTCACTTTCACTTTTCACTTTCACACATTGGAGAAGGAAATGGCAGCCCACTCCAGTGTTCTTCCTTGAGAATCCCAGGGACGGGGGAGCCTGGTGGGCTGCCGTCTATGGGGTCGCACAGGGTCGGACACGACTGAAGCGACTTAGCAGCAGCAGCAGCAGCAGTCCTCACAAAAATGGAGATTGTTTTATATCTGCCATCATTACTGCCACTAGGACCATCAGCATCTTTGTTTGCAGGCAGCACAGACTGCCTCAGTTGATTTCAGTCGGTTATGGCAAGACCTCCACAAGTTCACATAAGGGGTTAATAGAGTGGAACATCCAAGTAAGGTGCTTTCTGCTATCTCTCCAGAAACAGAAAGTACATGATGCACCCAGAACCCAGAGCTGAGGGCTCAGTGGAAAAGAGACTTTTTAAAGTAACAGAAAGCTCCTTCTTCTCTCTTTCCTCATTAAAATGGAAGATTCCAGACATCAACTCCAGAAATGTACTCAGACCCACCAGCCTCAGTAGTGTATTTAACACAAGGGGCAACCAACACTGGCGAGCTACATTCAGACAATGAGCCATGAATCTCGTCTTTCTTTCCACCAAGAGTGAGATTCAAACTTGCTGTTTCACCAGACAGAGAAGAAAAAGGTATGTCTTTTTCCCCATCCTTGCTCATTTCAGACCATCCAATGAAGCTTCGATCAGCATGCCCAGGTTTTCAAATCAAAATCGATTTGTATTTGTTTAGGAGGAGTGAAGCGTATTCACTGATTCAGGTATGTTCCTTCTGGGCTGTTTCATCACCACCTTTGGAAAAACATGTGAGATGGGGTCCACGGATGGACTGTGACCTGTCCTGCAGGGAGGTGAAATGCCATGATTAGAACCATGTCCTTACAGAGTAGATCCGCGGCTAAAGCACTTATCTGACAGGTCTTTGTTCATTGGTGATTCACAGTGATTTTGCCCTCCAGGATTTCCAGGGGTCGGGTCTTTAGTGTCTTGAGGACACATTTCCTGTGTCTGGAGAATGATGCATCCTGGTGGGAAAGTGTGAGGCGGGGCAGACCGCTTCCTCCTCTTGGCGGGTTCCTCGTGGTCCAGGCTGAAGTCCCGTGGAGCTGGTGAAACTCTTCAGGACCTGCTGGTGCCTGTGGTGAACAGAATGCAGCAGGCACTGCCGGTGGCTCTTGCCAGGGAAATGCAAGATCGACGCTAAAAAAAAAAAAAAGATAAATCAATAAAATTTTTTCCAGAAAAGCTGAGAATTCTGCATTTTTCATTGATTTTTCAATAGGAAAATACATCTGCAAAGCAGCCCATTGTGTAGTGCCTGCTACCAGGGCTGTGATCACGGGCAGGGGTTCTTGACTTATAAAGACATTTAATAAGTGTCCTTAATGACTCAGAGAAGTAGCATCCAGTGCTCTTCAGAGAAGCACGTGCAAACGTGGAGCAAAAGCATCTAGAGGGGTCAGAGGAGAGGCTGCCTCACGCGGTTCACACAGGAGCCCGGGTCCCCCCTCCCCCCCCATCCCCCATGCCCGCCCAAGATAACAGCCCTGGTGCCAGGTGCTACACAACGGGCTGCCTTGCAGTTGTATTTGTCTATTGAAAAATCAGTGAAAAATGCAGGATTCTCAATTTTTCTTGAAAAACAATTATTGATTTTTTTTTTCTAGCATCGATCTTGCATTTCCCTGGCAAGAGCCACCTGCAGTGCCTGTTGCATTTAAGTGCAGTCCTTGTTCCTAGAACCACATCCCTGCCCACTCACTTGGTCTATTACCTTCCGGGACTCCTTAGTCACTGGAACTTGAACCCTGCTTCTTGGTGGCAATCACCCCATTGCTTTCCAGTATGTCCTACCACCACCTCCCAGTGGCAATGGACCTTGAAAAATCCTTCCTTTGGCCCCACACCTCTACAGAGCCACTGCCTCCTTCCTTCTTTCACCCGGTCTCGTTGGAAGTATCCTTTCATATTCCACCTCCATTTCCACCTCTCCTCGCCAGTGAATCCACTCCATTTGGTGGATTCCTTGCATTCAAGACAGACCCTTCTTGTGAAGGTCCCTGGCACCCTGCACCTCATTAACCCATCTTTCCCTGAGTGTCTTGCACACTGGCAGATTCAACACTGGTGCTCACTTCCTTCTCTCAACATCCTTTTGTTACTGAAAGTGACATCCAGCTGCTCGCTGCTCAGAAGCCAACACTTCAGAGACACAGTTGGTGGAAAGGAAAGTTATGTTTTATTTTGAAGGCCAGCAACTGGATAAGAGGGTGGACTTTTGTCCAAAGGCTGACCCCTCCCTGGCCCTGACAATCAGTGGGTAAGAGTTTTTAAAGGGGAATTTCAGGGGTGCACAGGTGGAGGGAGGGGGCTCCATGCAGAAACAGCGTGGTCAGCTCTGCCAGTCATCTTGAAATTGGTCATCAGTGGTCTGATCAGCACCATCCTGACTGTCTTCAGTACTTAATCTTCAGTTCCAAGGTTGGTTTGTTCCCATTTCTTTGAGGCCAGCTCTCAGAATTGTGGCAGTTTAGGTCTGTCTGATCATCATGCAGTTAGTCTTCCTCCTGATGGAGGTTCCAGTATTATACAAGAGAGTTCATAGGATAGGGACTTCCCTGGTGGCTCAGGTGGAAAAGAATCTGTCTGCAATGGGGAGACCTGGGTTTGATCCCTGGGTTGTGATGATCCGCCGAAGAAGGGAATGGCTACCCACTCCAGTATTCTTGCCTCCTAACTGGACTCCTGACCTCTACAGCTACTCCCCTGCCCCTCTTCACTCCCTGAGGCAGATCGAGTGACTTTTTGAAGAAAGAAATCTGGTCATCTGCCTCCTCTGCTGTGGGTCCTCCCCAGCTCCAGTCACGTATGGGGTGAAGTAAAGCCCATTCCTGTGGCTCCGAGCCCGGCATGGTTGCCTAAGCCTCTTCTTGCACCACTTTCCTCTTCTGTCTCTGCCTCAGCCACAGGGCCTTTGCACATCCTCTTCACTCAGCCCAAAGCACTCTCCCTCCCCTCCTTTATAGTCACCGCTGGTCACCACCACATCTCGGCTCTGTTGTCATTCCCAGAAGGGTGACCCTCCTGGAGCAGGTGGGCATCCCTCTGCTGTCCCCATTCCTTGTTGGCATGTACATGCCTCTTGTGGTCACTCAGTTCATGTTTGTCTTCTCTGCTAAATTGTCAGCTCATGGTTTTTGTTCATCAGGCAATGCACAGCACACAGCATGCAATAGGAGCTCAACACATATCTATAAAATGAACTACAGGTAATAGCCCTTTGTACATGGAAATCAGAAGTTTGAAAACGCTAACGTTAGAAGTTCTAACAGTTAGAACTGGACATGGAACAACAGACTGGCTCCAAATCTGGGAAGGGGTATGTCAAAGCTGTATATTGCCACCCTGCTTATTTAAGTTATGTACAGAATACATCATGTGAAATGCTGGACTGGATGAAGCACAAGCTAGAATCAAGATTGCTGGGAGAAATATCAACAACCTCAGATACACAGATGACACCACCCTTATGGCAGAAAGCAAAGAAATAAAGGGCATCTTGATGAAAGTGAAAGAGGAGAGTGAAAAAGTTGGCTTAAAACTCAACATTCAGAAAACTAAGATCATGGCATCCAGTCCCATCACTTCATGGCAAATAGATGAGGAAACAACGGAAACAGTGACAGACTTTATTTTCTTGGGCTCCAAAATCATTGCAGATGGTGACTGCAGCCATGAAATTAAAAGATGCTTGCTCCTTGGAAGAAAAGCTATGACCAACCTATACAGCATATTAAAAAGCAGAGACATTACTTTGCCAACAAATGTCCATCTAGTCAAAGCTATGGTTTTTCCAGTGGTCATATATGAATGTGAGAGTTGGACTATAAAGAATGCTGAGCACCAAAGAATTGATGCTTTTGAACTGTGGTGTTGGAGAAGACTCTTGAGAGTCCCTTGGACTGCAAGGAGATTCAACCAGTCCATCCTAAAGCAAATCAGTCCTGAATATTCATTGGAAGGACTGATGCTGAAGATGAAACTCCAATACTTGCCACCTGATGCGAAGAACTGACTCATTGGAAAAGATCCTAATGCTGGGAAAGATTGAAGGCAGGAGGAGAAGGGGACAACAGAGGAAGAGATGGTTGGATGGCATCACCGTCTTGATGGACGTGAGCTTGAGCAAGTTCCGAGAGTTGGTGATGGACAGGGAGGCCTGGTGTGCTGCAGTCCATGGGGTCACAAAGAGTCAGACACGACTGAGGGACTGAACTGAACTGAATGACAGAGCAGCTGCAGTGACTGCAGGAAGCAGGTCCAGGTGTGAGACAGCAGAGCCCAGGGTGCTGCTCTGTGTGGATCCTCCTGCACCCCTTCCTTCACTGTTTCTCTGCGGGAGGGGCTGGACTTCAGCTGTATCACCAGCCTGCATGTTTCTGTTCACGTTCAGGAAGAAAATGCCATGTGCTTCTGAGCTCATAATTTACTGAGCACAGACATTCACTTATCAAACAGGCTGGTGCACTCACTCATTTTAAAAGATTTGAAGATAAACCTTCTGCGAAGATCAGTCACTTGTGTTCTCTATTATCATCTATTAAAAAGAATGTGTGTAACAAGATTAATACAGAGTGGGCCCTCTACACCTGTGAGTTCTGCATCCATGGATTCAACTGACCTCAGATGGAAAATATCAGGGGAAGAATTCNTGCATCCACAGATTCAACTGACCTCAGATGGAAAATATCAGGGGAAGAATTCCAGAAGTTTCCAAAAAGCTGAACTTGGATTTGCTGCACAGGCAACTCTTTGTTGTTACTGTTCAATTGCTCAGTTGTGTCTGACTCTGTGACCCCATGAACTGCAGCACGCCAGGCTTCCCTGTCCTTCATTGTCTCCCAGAGCTTGCTCAAACTCATGTTCATTGAGTCGGTGATGCCATCCAACCATCTCATCCTCTGTCACCCCCTTCTCCTCCTGCCTTCAAACTTTCCCAGCATCAGAGTCTTTTCCAATGAGTTGGCTCTTCACATCAGGTGGCTAAAGGATTGGAGCTCCTGCTTCAGCATCAGTCCTTCCAATGCATATTCAGGGTTGACTTCCCTTAGGACTGACTGGTTTGATCTCCTTGCAGTCCAAGGGACTGTAAAAGTCTTCTCCAGCACCACCAGTTTGAAGGATCACATTCTTCAAACATGACTACATACATGACTACAGGAAAAACCATAGCTTTGGCAACTCTTTACATAGCACTTAAATTGTATTTCCAACTGTGTACATAGCATGTACCTCATTTTAGGTTTTATAAACAAATTGAGGTGATTGAAAGTGTGGCAGGGTGGAAGTAGGTTGTATGCAAATGCTATGCCAGTTTATATAATAAATATGCCAGTTTATATAATAAAAAACCTGAGCATCCGTGGATTTTGGTGTCCTTGGAGGGTCCTGGAGCCAATCCCCTGTGGATACTGGGGAACGACTGCAATTCACAATAAGAGCATGGCAAATATACTTTTTTTGACACACCGAACCTTTTAGTTGTTACAAGTGTACATACATTTTATGAAGTGGTAATTATTAATATAATGTACATAAACTTTTTATTCTCATAGTAATTATAATTGTGAAAGGCAGGATGATCACATGGAGAGTCACCAGACCACAACCCCTACAGAGTAAACTGTAACATTAAAGTGTACCCGCCACCTTCTTATTTGTCTAATTTTTTTTTAATATTTGTGCTGTAAACACAGGTCAGTGTGCTGAGTGTGATCTAGGCTTATGTCCAGCTCACCTGCATCAAGTTCTCAGAGTGATTTGTGCATTCTTACAATGGAGGGTCTCCTTGACTCCATCAGTTGGTGGTTGATTTACTTCTGTGATTTTCTGTGATTTTTTATTCCCACTGTTGAAAGACATGTGCATAAGTCACCATGCCCTTGTCCATGGATCCAAATGGCCCAGCAGCCCGGGAAACCCTGCACCCCCTCATCTCCATGGAGACCAGTGTCTTCACGACAGGCCCCAACGTCACAGCTGTCAGCTCGGGGGGCTAGAGGAGGATGGGCTGGGGCTGCGACCACAGGAGGGCCCAAAACCCCACACCAAGTTCAGCCCTGGCAGGGCCGGGGTCCCGAGCTGTCCTGGGGGCACTCCACCGACAGCCATGGTCACTCGTCACTCATCTCTCG